ACACCAGAACCCGAAACGTCACACCATGGCGTCGTGGACCATACATACAACGTGTACGACATGGCACATTGCAAAACCACGCCTTGGGTGTTGTTCGGTACGCCGTGGACCTAGGCATGAACCTTTTCGATCGCTAGGGATAAAGCATATTCGCAAAGTACGTATTCATGGTAGCAGTCGCACCTCTTAGGACTCATTGGAATGCCATGGGACCTCGTGGGGCAATGGGCACTCGAAGTGTTTGGGCGCGACTCTCTCACTAGGTGCTCGAGGACGCAAGGCCGAGGAAATGACGGCCAACTATCATGGTTTGCCCGAAAAGTGTTTCGTCCGACCATTGTTTCGCACGGAGCGCAAAAGGTGGTATGGCGACGGGCAAGAAGGGGGTGTTTGGAGGCGGGCAGCTTGTTGTCAGAAGCGCAGAGAAGAAAGGTTGACTCAAGACCTTGGTATATTAACGAGTGCGCCGGGCATGCTAGCCCATGCACAGCAGAAGGGGGATCGCCCCTCTACGAACACATACCGCCAATGATACACGAAACCCCCTTAATCCCCGTAGATCAGTATCGCGTGCTGAGTACCCCCAAACAGACCCCCTACTCGGTACTCGATATGATCTAACAAACTCTTCAATTATTACCAGGGTAAAACGGTGATAGTGTCAATGCCAAACACACAACAGTCGTTCATCATACCATCCACTCTGAACCTTACGATGTCAAACTCATTTTCCTTCGGCATACAGTCTCCTCAAGAAGGTCTATCAAGGATGAATCAAATCTTTCCTACATGCATACCCACGTATGCAGCAGCAGCTGAAGCGGTAAATGATAGTGTGTGCTGCGAGTGTACAAGCCGAACACCAGCAGTGGCGGCGGAAGCGGCGTACGCATCCTCAGCAGCAGCAAACACGGCAGCGCAGACCCGATACCCCGGTGTTACCCGTATCTTCCCGTCGGAAAAGGGACGTGACTTCTGTATCAGCAAAATGATGAGCAGAGCGGTTGATGAACGAGTGTCTGTGACAAAGCGCACAAGCAGTACAGAGTACCGCAGCAGCGGGAGCAACGCAAGAATAAAGCAAACGCGACAGCCACGTGAAACCCGACAAAGAGCAATTAATATGGCACACCTGCAATACCCGTCGGCAAGCGACAGAGTGGAACAGTCATCTACATTATAGTATTTTTTGGTGAAATATTTCATGGAAGTCCATGGAAGCCCATGGACGTCCATGGACTTCCATGAAACCAGTCCATTGACTTCCATGGACTTCCATGAAACATTTCATGGACGTCCATGAAATATTTCATGGAAGTCCATGGAAAAAATGAAAAGTTTCATGGAAGTCCATGGAAGTCCATGAAATATTTCATCATGGAAGTCTATGAAACATTTCATGGACGTTCAAGAAATATTCCAGTGACGCCAACTTGGTTGATAAATGCCGACAATGAGCCTTGGCTGTGTCCGACATTGGTCTCCATGAAATGCGTGCACGGGCTTCATTGGACTTCCAAGAAACTTTTCATGGAACTCCTTTCACTTCCATGAAAAGTTTCATGGAGAGGACTTCCATGAAACGTTTCATGGAAGTCCATGGAGTTCCATGAAAATTTTCTTGGAAGTCCAAGGACTTCCATGAAACTTTTCATGGACGTCCATGGAGCTCCATGAAACTTTTCATGGAAGTCCATGGACCTCCATGGAACTCTTCATGAAATATTTCATGGAAGTCCAAGGAGTTCCATGAAATGCCATGAAATGTTTCATGAACGTCCGAGGAGTTTCATGAAAATTTCCATGGAGCTCCATGGACTTCCATGAAACTTTTCATGGAATTCCATGAAAAATATGAAAAAAAATAAAATAACTACCAATACAATAATTGAGATGAATCACACGGCGGGCTCAAGGTGCATCTGCTCCAAGCCGAAAGAAAAGTTAGTGGTGGACACCATCCTCCGCCCATCAGCAGAGCCGCGGGAGAAGCCAAACGGTCGGGCACAACAACCTCGCCGACGGCGTCCACCGCCAGCTCGTCGCGTTCAGCAATGAATGGGTGTCCCATCACAGCCAGACCCGATCTGGCGAACCGTCGGATAATGGAGGGGTGGAGGAAGGCGAAAGGGAAAAACGCTTCCAACCGGTTGTAGCCATTGCCGAGTGAGGACGTCCATGAAACATTTCATGGTCTTTCATGGATGTTCATGAACTATTTCATGAAAGACCATGGAGGTCCATGAAACATTCCATGGACGTTCATGGATGTTCATGACATATTTCATGAAAGACCATGGACGTCCATGAAACATTCCATGGACGTTCATGGATGTTCATGACATATTTCATGAAAGACCATGGAGGTCCATGAAACATTCCATGGACGTTCATAGGCTATCATGACATTTTTTTTCATGAACGTTCATGGGCGTTCATGAAACATGTCATGAACGTTCATGAAAGCATGTCATGAACGTCCATGAAATTTTTCCATGAAATGTTTCATGACAAGGAGTGAAATTATTTCATGGAAAGTTTCATGACAAAAATGTCATGGACATCCATGGAACTTTTCACGGAATACCGTGAAAATTTTAATGGTATTCCATGGAATTCCATGGACTTCCATGGACTTCCATGAAATGTTTCATGAAAGACCATGGAAGTCCATGGAAGTCCATGGTCTTTCATGAAACTTTTCATGAAATGTTTCATGGAAGACCATGGAAGTCCATGGAACGGTTTCATGGAAGTCCATGGAAGTCCACACGGACTTCCATGAAACTTTTCATGAAAAAGTACGAAAATGTACAATGTACAAGCCCCGATCCACCTGTCGTCCCTCAAAGCAGCATTTATTTGTAAAACCGGGGAGAGGGAGGGAGCGAATTCGAATAGCTGTGATGAGTGCGACAATTTTGGCGCGTACTCAAGAAGCACCGATCCCCCTTCCGTTTTCCAAACCAACCCGCTTTTCATACATTGGCGAAAGAGAGAGAGCGAAGTTGGAACGGCCACGATGTGTCTGACGCTTGGTCGGGCGCCCAAGGAGCGCCGATGTTCCGTTCGTTCCACAAACCAGCAATTTTCAAATCTGCGAGAGGCAGAAACCAAAGTTCAAATAGCCATACAGTGTCAAACGGTTTGTCGCGCGCAAGAGAAGCACCGGTCCTGCTCTCGATTCAAAACCAGCTTTTTGATTATCTGGGAGAGGGAGAGAGCAAAAAAGTTCGAACACTATGACGTCCCACGCTTGGTCGCGCGGGTAAGGATCGCCGATCGTGCTCTCGTTCCACCAACCAACTTTATATCATCGGGGAGAGGGAGAGAGCAAGGCGAATAGTTCTGATGTGTCCGACGACATGTCGTACACGCAAGAAGCACCGACCCTTCTCTCGTTTGCCAAACCTGCTTTTCACATGTCAGAGAAGGAAAGAGGACAGTTCAAACAGCCATGATGAATGTGTCCGACGCTTTGTCGCGCGAGCAAGTAGCATCCCCCTCAGTTTGTTCTTGAAAGCGAACGTTCGAGCAGCCATGATGTTTCGGAGGATTCGTCGCGCGCGCAAGAAGCACCGATCCTTCTCTCGTTCTTCAAATCAGCTTTTTGAAGGTCAGGGAGAGGGAGAGAGCACAGTTCAAGCATCCATGGAGTGTCCCACGCTTGGTCGCGCACCCGAAAAACACCGATTCCCCTCTCGTTCTACACACCAGCGATTTTCGAACTCGGGAGAGGCCTAGAGCAAAGTTTTAATAGCCATGATGCGTCCGACGATTTGTTGCGCTCGCAAGGAGCACCGATCGCGCCCTTGTTCCACAAACCAGCACTTTTTGTAGTCTGGGAGGGGCAGAGAGCAAAGCTAGACCATCCGTGGTGTGTCCGACGCTTGGTGGCGCACGCAAGAAGTACCGATCCCTCTCTTTTTATTCAAACCAGCTGTTCATAGGTCAGAGAGGGAGAGAGCAAATTTCGAACACCATGACGTGTCCCACGCTTCGTCTCGCGCGGAAGGAGCACCGATGCTCCGTTCTTTCCATAAATCTGCAATTTACAAATGTGCGACTTGGTGCGACAGGCAGAAACCAAAGTTCAAATAGCCATGATGTGTCAAACGATTTGTCGCGCACGAGAGGAGCACCGATTGTGCTCTCGTTCCACCGACTTGCATTTATCAAATCGGGGACAGGGAGAGAGCAAAGTCCGAGCAGCCATGATGTGTCAGACGCTTGTACGCGCGCGCAAGGAAGCAGCGACCCTCTGTTCCGCACAGCTTCTTGTACTCTGATCGAAACAGCCATGATATGTCTGACGATGTGCTGCGCACGCGAAGAACACCGATCGCGCTCTCGTTCCAGCAACCAGTACTTCTCAATTCGCGGAGAGGGAGAGAGTGCAGCACTTCGAATAGCTATAATGTGTCCGACGACGAGTCGCGTGCGCAAGGAGCACCTTTCCTCCGTTCTTTCTTCAAAGAGTACGAATAGATAGGATCACGCCTCGCCGATTCCCCCCCCCATTTACATGAGTACTGCAAATGAAGAAGTCTCCACACTACGAGCCAATTATGACTGTGCGGTTGCTCGATGATGCAGACGATTCGTACGCCGACGGATTGCTCCAAAGGAGGCCGTGTTTACCACCTTCTCAACCATGCCACGCAAAAAAAATACAAGTGTTTTCATGTTTGCCCGCGTGGCACCATATACCACTTACACCAGCGTGCGAAAAAAGCGGATAATGTCTGAGCTACCTCACGGATTGCCTTCTCTATGATACCACGGTCACGTGCGTAGTACACGCCCCCCGCAACCGCGTCATGCTGAGCGGTATAACGACCCTTCATCATTTTTCCCACCTTCCCTGCCTGGCTACCCAGCCTAGCACCCACAAACGCTCAATCTGCGCAATGGGAATTTCATCCCCACGCACTGACGCTTGACACTGAGGGGTAGCAACGCCGTGCCCTGGATCTACGTTTGACGCGTCGGCTGCAGCAGCAGCGATAGCTAGCGTGTTTCCGGGCTACCATGTCCCACTCTATCTCCTTAACACACAGCACACAAGAGCAAGCTTGGCCAATGGCGAAACCCATCACCAATACGACCGAGCAGCAGTAGCTTCGCCCGCGGCAGCCTCCTTCGTTTGTACCCCTGCCCACGTACAGCAGTTACGGTCGCTGTCCTATTCCCCATTCTTATCCGGAGAGTACCCCAGGAACGGTCCGTCTTGCTTGTTGTTGTACCTGTCGATAAGAGGCGGGTGGAGAATATGGTTTAGCTCAGTATTTTAACAATCTTGCTCGCAAACATACCCGACGAACGAAAACAACACCACGCACCTGGACAGGGCCGCCAAGAGCACACAAGGCTTCGTCGCCCTGCGCTTCAGACCCGGCAGCACGCGAACGATCGGCTTTGATTTCTCGAGCGCGCTCGGCCAACACCAGGAGATCGCGTGAACTGCATCCACCTGCTTCAGCAAGCGTATGACACCCTTCAGCCCGAACTCCACGTCTTCCGAAGCATCCCATTCGGTCTCCCACAAAGGTAGAATCGATTCGGCGATCGCCAAGGGCGTATCGTGCATTACACAATTTCCTTCGATTCCTTCATAACGAACGCGCGATGCCACGTCCGCCAAGGAGCAAGCGCGTGATTCTGGGAGAATAGGAGCCACCCAGCTCAAATGCGCTCACAAGAGGGGTGTCTTGGAAAAGTTGGTTTGAGTACATGGGCAAGATACTGTCCTGGGCCATGTTGGCGTATGCACGCGTACGGGTATTCGCAAGAAGGAGCTTGATACACTCCTCACGCCGACCTTCAACGGCAGCGCACAGTGCAATGCCCTCCGCGTCCACCACACCGTTGTCAAACAGAAAAGTGACGGTATCTACTTGATTCTGAAAAGCGGCCTCCACGAGAGCTTGTACTCCACCGTCACGAGAACAACCGTCGATTCCGAATCGCTGTACTAGTTCGCGGACAACTTCCAGGTGTCCGTTTTCAGCAGCCGCGTCCAGCGGAAGGCTTTCGCCGTCGTATGCAGGCAAGAGCGGATTCGCCTTCGCCCCAACGAGAACCCTGACATCTTCAAGTCTCCGTTGTCGTGCCGAAATGTACAAGGGTGTCGCTCCGCCTTCTTGCTCACTATCGACATTCGCACCCGCGTGGATCAGCATCACCATTCCTTTGTGGAATCCTTTCGCCGCGGCCACGTGAAGCGGCGTACCGTCTACACCACGCGCTTCAACGCCCGCTCCGGCCTTGACCAGAGCCCTGCTGACGGCCAGGTGTTTGATGACAATCGACAGGTGTAGAGCTGTCGCACCGTCATTGTCCGCCACCGACACTCTGGCTCCGGGTCTCAAAAGGACCCTTACGACCCGCAAGTATCCCATGGTGGAGGCCGCCATAAGCGGGGTCCGGCCCACATCACCATAGCCTCCATCGATGTCTACCGACCCTTGAGAAAGCACGGCAACCGTGCGCTCGACGGAACCACTGGCTGCGGCATCATACAGTTTGCTTAGAGTTGATGGCATGTTGGAAATGGAAACAAGTACTCGAAGCGCTGTCTATTGTTTCCTGGAAGTAGTGGCGATACACCGTTACCGTACTGACATTAAGATTAGCTTCTTTTTGGTTACCTTACCCTTTCTTTTTTAGGCTGAGACAAGAGCCTTGTCTGCAACCTTTACTTTCGTTTGTTTGCAAGGTGTCTTCCTTGCGCTTCGCGGCCGAAGCGGCCTTCGATTTCTTTGTCGTGAGATTTGGAGGCGACTTCACCTTGCGCTTGGTATCCCTCGCCGGACTGTCCCTCACAACGACAGCCCTATTGTAAGCCGCGGCAGCTGCCATTACCACTCTCTTGATGACGGCGGTCGCTTTGCGTTTCGCGTTCTTCAGGGCCTTTTCCTTGGCGGCAACGTCGGCAGCCGCCTTCTTCTTGGCCTTTCCTTTTGCAACTAGGGCCGAGCTAGCTTTTTGGGTCCCATGAGCGCGAGTGTCTCGGGGATGCTGTTTTCCTTCGGGATTTTGGCCACATCGCTTCTCATCTGTTTCGTGGTGCCATTGTTTCCATGTTTTTTGTAGAATTGTCTGCTTTCTGTTTTTTGAGAGATGCACTTTCGCCTGCGATATCGATCACTTTTCACGTTAGCTGCGGCTTGAAAACGTGGTTGTAATACTCGGGAGCTTCTCCGACGGAGCGTATCTCAATCTTGTTCGCGCGTAGAAAAATGAGCCACGGGTGGGGCGCGAGGCACTCGTTTGGGAGCAATTTAACTTTTCCGTACACACCACCATCTGATCCTAACTGCCTTGTGTAAATAACTTCAACTTATTTTCCCCGCGTCGCGACCAACTATTGTCAATCCTCGCCTTTCAGCAGGGAAGAAGCAGTCGGTGTCAGCAGCAGCAGGAGCTTTGACGTGCACGATTTCCCTGCCTGGTTGGGATACGGTTTCGGTCGGGCTGGTGGTGGAGCCGAATCTTGTTGGGGGTCACCGGTGACGCTGATACCGTATAGTCGGAGGGAACGAGGATCTTCTGGGCCAGACCCAAGCCGGGCGGAAGCAGCAGGAGGGAGCGGCGAAGGAGAGACAAGGGCGTGAAGGACGCCGAAGCCCACGGCATACTTCGAAGAGGCCAATCTTCTGTCGGCGCCCGGGTTACGGCCTCCACCGCCGCCGACTCTGCGGTGAGCCATGAAGCCCAACTCAGGGTCAGGAGGAAGGCAACGTGCATGACGCCCAGGAGCATTCGTCGTTTTGTTTGTGGTTTCAACCAATGGACCCCCTGTAACCTAGCCCCGCCCCCCGGCCCCCCCCGGACCCATATTTTCCGCCGCAGGTATGGTCAAGCCGGGCTTCATCTCGCTAGCCAGTTCATGCGGAGGGAAAATGTTGCCCCCCGGCTCCCCTCGAGAACAAGGGCGTGATGTTCGTGGTGTATCGGCGCCTAAACGCCGGTCGCTCTCTGTTGTTGGCCACTTTGTACGACGGGGAGGATACTTTGGTGGGGGTGAGCTTGTTTTTTTGTTTGAAGTACGGAGGAAGATACATCCCATGAAATATCGGTTGCGTGGTTGTGTAATATTGCGAAAGTAGTACCGTACCGGCCCGCTGATAAGAAAGCTGCCGAAAGAAAGAAAAACAGGCTGGGTTTTTCGCAAAAGTAAGAAAGTGCCCAAGCTGGGTGGCGAAGGCCACACTATTTTCTATATGTTGGGGCGTTGGTAGACTACATGTGGGCTATACAACAACGTTGACCTCAGGGTGTCTGGGTGTACATTTCAGCCGTGAGCTGTGAGCTTAGGTGACCTATGCATGCTGCAGCCCCGCCTTACTCTTACCTTATGTACGGTTGGCGATGCTGTGCTAAACGTTTAGTAGCCCGCCTATGTGTGTGGTGGTCATGAAGAGGCTGGGCGGATGGACTACACCACCACCTTCATCACAACCGACTCCTGAGACGACGATCACCCATCAACGACTCTACGCACAGTACACTCAACCCGCTCGCATCCGAGCCCACATCAGGCCCCACTTAAAGGTCATATACACCTGAAATGGCCAAGTCTTTTGGTTCGAAAGGAAATCCGCGATTATCCAACCCAGCGGAGGAGACATCGAGAAACACCGGTGCGAACGCCATCGCACACCCGTGCCCCAACTGATGACACTCCGAAAGGAGATCATCGCACTCGTGTACAGAACATCTACTGTTTTCCAGTGCAGCCACGGCCAAAGAACGGGGGCGGGGCGCGCAGTGGAATTGATCTATCACCAGGGGAGGTATACCTGCTGCGGATCGTTCGCGGAAAAATTATTTTCTTGTAATCTATTAGACGGTCCTGTTTGTACAACCCAAAGATAGAGGGAAAACTAAACGATGGTAGCAATAATACTGTTTTTACCCACCATGCCATGCATAGAACCGTTCTATAAGGTGGTTCGGGAAGGCACATCAGCGCCGTGCGCCGGGCACGGGGGCTCCGAGATTGTGGTGGATTCATTCGTCAACCGGTCGGTCGGTTGGCGCGACCTTACAAGCGGCGGAATCACCGTTCGCAAAAAAACAGCAGGGGGGACTTTTCCGCGCAATCAACACCTCTACTGAACCACAAACGACAAGGCTGTCCAGGTACATTCCGACATCTCAACCCCGCCGAAAGCTGCCGCCCACGATTAAAAAAACTAGCTGGTATGAAGCAGCAAGATACGTCGGGCTTGATTGACTTGTGGGTCCAGGCCGAGTGATCAACCGACGACTTTCTCGCCGCTCCTCAGGTAGGTAGTCATCGAGTTGGACTTTGAACGAGAGCGTGAGTGGCCTCCTCTGCACGGCGATACCGGCGTCAAGTAGGCATAGTAGATCACAACGGCTGGCTCGATCCAGAGGGCCACCCGATTGTAACAATCAGGGAACACTTTGGTGACCATGGCGGCAGTGATCCTTCCGATACTCCTGGTTCTGACGGTGACGAAGACCGTGCTGGTTGTCGACGCAGTTTTTTGGCCTAGCGGGGGTTTCGTAGCTCGCGCCGCCGAGACCATTCGGTCCCAGACTTCCCAAGCCCCGGCAAGGGCAAGGTCTACGGTTGCCTCACCAAGGCAGCGACCCAAAGGCCCCGCCAGCGCCGGTGCTTTCAAAGTCAGGTATCCCTGTGTTATGGAAATGTTAGCACATAGCCAGTATGAGTCAATGTGATCGATAATTCGGGTGGCTTGGTTCTTTGTGGTTGGAGCTCAAAGCGGGTGGCTCATGGCGGAGCGTGGATGGGTAGGAAACGTGTTGAAAACGTAAAGCAAAAGTATTGGAAAGTATTGTATTCATCGGGGGCGTGCCAGTGCTCGTCAAACCTTCACGGTATCTGGGCACGCCTTCACTCTTTGTCACTCAACGAATCTCTCTGAATCTCCACCAAATACCTCTCGCAACCAAGGAATATATGTAGAAAGTTCCTATCCCTCCGCATCTCATCACTGTTACTTTCGTACGTACGTACCGGACATCTCAACCGTCATACTATGCTACGAGTACTCCCAATATATCTAATAGCCCCCCTGCTCGTATGCATCGTCATGCTTCGGCAAATACCAATCCTCTTCTGTACCATCATCTCCAAAACAAAACAAAATATTCACAAAACAAACAAAAACCAATATCTTCGCCAAAACAATCCAAAATCCTCCAAGTCCATCACAAGAAAAATCAAACACAATCAAAACTCCTCCAAAACAATCAAGAAAAACTAAACACAACAACTCCTCCAACCTTCACCAGACTCTCTCTTTTCTCTTGTCCAATCTCTCGTCTCTCTCACTCTCTCCATCACAGAATACGAATCGACCCCAAAACACTTCCTTCACTGCAAGTTCATCACAAAGTCACGGTGCAACGCAAAAGACTCCTTGCTAATGGCCTTCGTCAAGAAATCTGCATGCTGAAATTGCGTCGGCACATGAGTAATTGAAATCTCCTTCCTCTCTACCAGCTCCCTGATAAAGTGATGTCGTACATCGATGTGTTTCGAGTTGGAGTTCGTGATCGGGTTGTGCGCAATCTGAATCGCTCCCTGATTATCCTCGAACACCGGGATGCACGGCATACCTGCATCTGGCAACATAAAACGCCACACCTGCCTCAGGAACAACACTTCCTTCAAGACATCGGCAATTGCCACATACTCTGCTTCCGTGGTGGAAAGCGTGACACACTTTTGTGTCCTCGAAAACCAAGTCACACACCCTCCCCCACACATCACTAGCCCTCCTGACACCGATCTACGGTCTGTCGCCTTGCTTGCATAGTCGGCATCCACAAACACCTGCATGCTGATCCCAGTCACCACTCCCCTCTCAAATGTAATCCCCATCCAACTCGTCCTCCGTACGTACCCTAAAATACCGAGTGCTGCCTTCTAGTGCACCATCTTGGGAGATGCACAATACCGCGCTACTGCTCGTACTGCGTTCGCGATGTCCGGCCTTGTTTGAGTGGCCAACCACATCAGAGATCCTACCAACTCGCGAAAAGGGACATCAGCGCACGCTTCGTTCTCGTCAAAGTCGGTGAGCTTCACGCTCACAGGCAAGGGCACACTCCTCCCCCACTCAATTCCGTACTCTGCAGCCAACTCTTCGGCAAACCTCTGCTGCGAAATCTTCAACAGCCCTCTCTCTACGTCTCTCTCGTAAAAGCACGCGGAGTACCACCTCAACTCTCCAAGGTTCTTCACGGGGACCATCTCGTTGAGATCCCTGCCAAACTTGTCACACCTCTCCTTCTGCCCTACAGCAAAAATGTCATCCACGTGGACCACGATGATCATGATCACACGTCCCTCCTCCATCAATCGAAAAACACATGCATCCGCCAGACACTGCAAAAAACCTAAAAGTAACAAACACCTCGTCAGGTGCGCATGCCAATGTCGTGATGCCTGCTTCAAACCATACAGACTCTTGCACAGCTTCACGATCAGGCCAGATAACCTACCACACCCCTGCGGTAAGCGCATGAAAACATCCTCATCAAGCTCAGACTGCACAAAAGCCTGCTGAATAT